AAATATTCAGAATAAACAACAAGGCTATCCGAGATGATCAAGACGAAATGAAACAATAAAACAAAAACAAAATCGATTACACCTCGATCGAAAAAGAAAAAAAAAGAGATAATATGAAACAATTGAACAAAGAGAACGTCGTCCGAAAACTAATCATGGATGCATGGCTAAAATAGTTCATAGAGAAACTGACGATGAATATCGCATTCGACTGCGACGAAATTGTCAGTCTTTTGAAGAGTTTAGTAGGAATGTACGTGATCTAAAAAGGGTTTTAAATCCGTTGCAGTTTTGAAACTTTACTTTTGAGTGTAGAACAAACGTGTTTGGATAAGTCTTACCTCAGGAATTAATTTGAATGTATTTAAAGGATTTGCTGATGAAAATGATTTAGTAGAATATTTTCTTCGTCGAGCATATCATGACAATTATACGGTTATAGGTAGTGTAGTTTAAACTAATGTATATTTAAATGATACTAAATTACCTCCAAATACAATATATAAAATTCGTCAAAATGCTTCATTAACACCATCAACAAAACGTGTAAGAGATCGATTTTGGGTACCATCACCGTCGCAAAAAGGCTTTATGTATTATAATTTCGGATTTAGTTGGATTCAGGTAATAAAATTAATATTACATATTTTGTGAAACACGATCTAACGATTGATCCGTTCCATTTGTTAGAGAGCTTCCCATACATATTGATTGTATTATTCTTGATGGTTAGATACACTAAACTATCGAAAAACATATGAACCTCTATGACACTATAAGAGGCTTCGTCCATTATTTCTGTCTGTAGGGTAGGAGTGAGCTGATTTACTTTGTCTCGCTATACCCTTCAATACTCCCTTCATTGATTACTTATTAATTATATATTGATGTGCTATTAATTACTAATGTAGATAATAAGCCCTTGCTAATAGCATATCAAAATGTCTGTCATGGTCGATGAAGGATGAGTGGCTTCAAATTTCTATCCTATAAACTTCAACACTAATTATAGATTGCGTTTCACAAAAAATTTCTATTTAAAAAAAAATCTGAGACAAAAGAACACGGAAAATCTTTAAAAACGAAAGTTTTTTTGGTTTTTTAGAAAACCAGTATCTCATTTCAGAAGCATTTATGCTAATCTAGTAGACGAGAAGTATACTATGAAAGTTTCATCGAGTTTAGAGTTGTGTAAAAGTGTACATATCGAATACATTGAACGAGCCTTTTTCGAAAACCCTTAGTTGAGAGAGCATGCATGCTTTGTCTAACAGGGTAATTACTAGAATAAAGTTTTTCATATAGAACGATAGAGCAAGAGCTCTACGATTTATTCCGTAGATCTTTTTACGTTTCTCTTAGATGACAGAAACCTGGTCACTTTTTGGGCTTAGGACTTTCCCAAACCCTTAAAAAGGTAGAATCATTTTTTTTAAATCAAAAACTCTACCATTAGTGAAAATATATTCTACATTATTCAAATCCCAAAAAATATCACTTTCATTTTTTTCACCAAATGTTCACGTTGTAGGAGTAGAAATTTGGGCGACACTCCAGCTACAGTAGTGTCCTGCGGGAACGATTTTTTTCCGAATTTTCCCATCCCATTTCCTGTGGTAATCGGGAACTGGAACGATGTTAAGAAGTGATGTTTCTGAAAATTACCGTTTTAATTTTATATCTATCCAGATATATTTATGAACATTTGTTTTATTTTTAACCTAGTCAAATTCTCATGCTTACTAACATATATGTACACAGGCTTTCTTGTGGATAAGATTCGAACTCCTATATTCTTTTTATAAGAAGAACTTCTATAGAATTCAATTATCAACATACGTTAGAAATACAATAAAATCTAAATAATATAACACTCATTAGATAACTACTAAGTTCGCATATTATGGTTCTTAACAATTATATAGGAATCTAAAAATTGAACAGGTTTTAGGAGTTAACATAGTGTGGTTATATGAGAATGATTTCAGTTTAATGAAATATTAAACAAGTACATATGGAAGAAAAAACTAAATTGTTGTAGGCGATAGCAATCATGCTACAAAGTAGCGAAAATGTGAATGTCGACATAGAATTTCTTTAGTACTAGTTTTTGTAAATACGACTTATTTGTATTGACATTCATAGCAGAACAAAATTCTAGTCAATCAGAAGACCAATACATATAACACTGATTTTTGCATACAAGTCCTATATCTCCGATAAGCATACATCAATGTTGCACGTGAGTATATATTAGGACAAGAATCATGTATGATCTTGTATATTTTCTTAAAAACTTGAAAAATTAGGGTTGCATGTCTGAGTATGAATTACTACGACTCAAAAACATCTTTCCAGAATATGCTAGTCTCTTAGAGCTTTCCCCCACATAAGAATGTTTTTCAGCTGTTACACTTGACGAAAAATTTGCTGTAATATAACATTGTATAGTACACGGTGTCGAAAGAATCTAGTATATGTTAATAATATCTTTTTCATCCCTGAAAAATGAAACAAAAATGAGAATTTCAAAAGCATTAGGAAAATACGGGAACGAGAACGGGAAATGGGAATGGCGAAAAGTCGTTACCGCAGGACACTAGCCTACAGACACCTTAGCAACTATATATCACAGACATTGTTGATATATGATCACAGGCTGTTTATCAATAACATCTCGTTATAATAGATTTCTAATAGTATTTTTCGAGGATTACGGTGAACAAATATATACTAAAATAGAACGAATAAGATAATATTCCTACAGCTATACCATGTTTCACATTTGAATCCTGTATGAATTCCATTAACAGCTTTTTCAAATAATTGTCATATAATTTCTATATGATCAAATATAGAGACATCATTTTTTTTTCTCATTTATTAATCATATCTAGGAAAAAACTCAATATGATTTTTAAATATATTTATTAGGAAATAATTGATCGTGCAATAATTGGTACTCACGTTGGTCGACCAATAATTGAACCTGGTTTATTTTATCAAGAAATGAGTTATCCTTGTTATACATACGACAAGTAAATCATTGTTATTTTTTCTTTGTTTTAATTTAAAAAAAGACTTGTTTGGTTTTCTTCTAATGATTCAACATGCTTTTCCATTATGTTTGACAATATCATGGATATATACATTTGCAATGTTAACACAAAGTATAGTTTATGAAAAAGAAGTTCGTTTAAAAGAAGTTATGAAAATTATGGGTTTAAGTAATGGTGTACATTGGATTGCACGGTTTATAACAGTATTTAGCCAAACAACTGTCGTTATGATTGCTGTAACAATAATTTTACATTATGGAAACGTTCTTATGCATTCAAATCCATTTTTAATATTTATTATTTTTGAAATTTATGCTCTTTCGACAATTAGTCTTGCGTATGTGTCAAATAGAGTTTTGTTTTTCTTTTTAAATATTTTTCTTTATCTAATTAAATTTAATTATTATTTAGATTTCTTGTTAGTGTTTTTATTCGAAAGCTAAAATAGCTGCTGCTTGTTCAGGAATTATTTATTTATTAACCTATGTACCATGTACGTATATATCAATAAGAGAAGATTTCGCACAAGATATAATACCTAAATGGGCTAAAATGTTAGCTGTAAGTTTTATAAAGAAAATATTAAATTAAATCAACGGGAATGCAAATTGTCATAGTGAAATGTCTTTTCTTTTCTTATTGTTATTAGTCTTTATTTTCTACAAGGGCTTTTGGTATGGGAGTTAAATATATCGCATTTTATGAAAATATTGGTACAGGAATTCAATTTGATAATATTCAATATAGTCCAGTTGAAGATGATCATTTTACTTGTTTTGAAACTATTCTTTTTATAGTATTGGATACATGTATTTATCTTATTCTTATGTGGTATATTGAAAATATTTATCCAGGTATTGGGAAAGATTTTTTCCTTTTTTTTTTAGAAATTTAAGATAATATTAATAAATTTCTTTTTTAAAGGTACCTATGGAATACCAAAGAAATGGTATTTTCCATTTACGATAAGTTATTGGACTGGAGAAACACATGTTGAACCTAATTGGATAAAAAAATTTAAAAAAATTAACTTATTTAGATGGATTATATGTGGAAAACATCATATGCCTTATACCTTCCATTGGTCAACACTATCGTTAAATCAAATAATCAATGATTCTAAGAGAAATCAAGGTATAACCATGCATATTGTTATTTATCCTTTGAAGTTTAGTTGATCGATTGAAAAATTGTTTGTTTTTTAATAAAAATAGTTCATTGCAAACGAGGATACTTTTTACATGAATATATATAAGAGCCATATCAGGCAAAAAATGGGCCATACCTCCTTTCATTTGACTTTGATTCTTGATGAGAGTTATTTTTTTTGAATAAGTTCTTTTTGCATAGACCTATGTAAAAATGTTGGCTGTTTCAGTTGCCTATTAATTTGAATTAATTAGCGAATATATCTTTAACTATACGAGAAAAAAATCCGAAAACTTCAGAATAGACTCTACAGCACGATCTACATCTATGGTGAAATTTTTAGCAAGATTAGACTCCAAAAAACTTCCTCTGACAAAGCAACTTTCTAGAGACCCTGTCAAAACCTGAAACAAGACTTTTCGTCTTACCATCATTTAGAGATACCAAACAAGAATTTGTACCGTTTCGAATCGGTTTCAAACTTCTCATCCGGTTATAAGAACATTTTTTTCATACTTCGTCACATCGCTAACAGAGAGTTAATCGGTTTTTTTTGAAAACTCTATGCATATTTAGAAAAAATTTTCCACAGAAATTTTGTTGTCGCAAGAATTGTCTGCAGAATATACGATTTAGTTTTCAAAAATACTACCTCAATTCAGTGTTTTTTACAACTAAAATGTATGCAGTGAAAGTCGATGTCCTTTTTTTCGTGTCACGTCACTGACGCTAGTTTTTTACTGATAACTCCTCTAGACAAAACTCTCTAATGCTGGTTTTTTCAGGACATCTCGAGTAATTTAATATACATATAACATATAAAAATAAACTCTAGAAATGATCATTATCCTGAGATACACATGTTTTAATGTTGCGAAGTGACGTTGTTAACGAATAAAAAGGTCCATAAATAGTTAATTAAATAGTTATGTTCAAGCGAATGAATATTATACATTCGTTGGATGGTAGCTGTGTTTCTTCTTTTATAAGTTCAATATGAAAAGTA